CGTTAACCCGYCGTCTCYCGCSCTATAAATTTGCGCAACCCTCTYCTCTCCCTCTCTTTGATCTCGGCTGCAATGCTGCGCGAGCTATGCGCGAGAGTCCGCGGCGCCGAACAGGCTCGACGAGCCCAAGGACGGGCGGAGTGACGAYGTGGGGTGGGCCCCGCGGTAGTCTCGGGGCTAGGCAGTTGGAGGGACCRAGCAGTGGTGGGGATTGGACGCCGGCCGCSGCAGGGCCTTGTGGCTATGGTGGTCGGTGGTCTTGGGAAGTTTTTGAAGGCTGCGTCTGGGGACGACAGTCAATTGAAATTTTTGTGTCTACAAGAGGGACTGGCTTTTATCTCCATTGCTGCTTTGTTTATGCATGTCGTGTGTGTGTGAAGCCCCGAGTGATGGGAGCTTGTTCTGCGCATGAGTGACGTCGAAGGTCCATGGATGATTAGATGTCATGTCGAGTGTTATTGATTGCATGCATGTATGTGTATATGCACTCGTCCGGGCGGGGATGGGGAAACTCAACTGGGAAACCGTCTGCTTAGGAGTATGAGTGTGTTGCTCCGGTTGTTCCCCTCCCCTCCGCGGTTTTTCCTACGCTCTCGCACGGTCTCGGCGTAATTCACTCTCTCACTATCTTTCTCTCCCTTCTTCCCTTCCCCGATCCCCTTCCTTGCAACTGGCAGTCATCGCTTTTTGAGCTTATCATCCCCGTACCGGTGACGTCAACCTCCTGCGTCCGCGCGGATGGTCGACGCCCCCGCCAAGAGGAGAAAGCTTAGATTTCGTCATCTCCCTTTCCCTACGCACTCACTTTTGAGAGAAAAAAAAAAAGTTTGCGACGATTGCTGTATGGATTCCGTGTTGGTTCGGATGACTGGGAACGCGGGATCTTGCCTGTGTTCATCACGTACCTCCGATCGTCTCATCTTGCTCCCGACCTTCCCCATCACAGATGACGACAGCGTCTACTGCGATGCGGATGTACGGCGCGCGCTGAGGCGGACGGAGCAAGTGTGTTGGCAAGACCCACCGCGCGCCTGTGAGATAAGGGGGAATGGGTTTGTGTTGATTGATCGTTTTGATTCCCCGACTCTGATATTGCCGTATACGGGTTTAACGGTGTTGCCCTGGTCGGCAGCTCACGACGCGTGGCGACCGCAGTTTGATTGTCGCTGGTGTCGCCAGGGGGACTCGTGCTCGTGGCGACGACTGGTCCTGGGTTACGAGGGAGCGACATGTTTCCCCAAACTTTCCCGTAGTGCAGGGGCGCTGCCTGCGCAATTTCGAATTTAGATACCGACGAGTCCTCCCGCCTCTTTACCCTCCCGGAAACTTTCGCGCGGACTCTGTGAGTCCGACGCCGAGGCCTGAAGGCCTCGAACCACCCACCTCCACAATAAAGACCCGAGGGTTCAGACCCTTTGTGAAGTCGATGATGAGGCCCGAGGGCTTCGAACCCACCACCTATCCCCAAAACCCCTGACGATCGAAGTTTGTCTTCCGCCGCCATGACCCTCTCCCCTTGATGCCTTTTTCTGTCCTGATGCATGGCGGCAATTCATTTTTGCAGAAACCTTTTTAATTTTATCGTTTCGGAGTAATTCGGCCCCCACACGACTCCGCGGCGACAGTTCGACTCCGAAAAGAACCTCAGCCACGAAATGAGAGTCTCCCGTTCCATCCGAGAGACTCAACCCTTACGGCAAAAAATCCTCGGCCACGCCCCTCCTAGAACTCTGATCGGCGACCCTGTACGGGAAGCCGCAAGGGGGCGTGAGGTTGCGTATCACAGGCGGGCTTGGACACTTAGCTGTTGGTCGAGGTTGGAGACTTATCGTCTTTCTCTCTCTCTCTCTCTCTCTCTCTCTCTCTCACACACACACACACACACACACACACACACACACACACACACACACACATTTCATCGATATGATGAGCAAAAACGGAATGAATCTTCCGCCGAAACGTGGAAATATACACTGCTACTTTTTTTAGCAAAATCGGAGTAAATCATTCGTGTGTGTGTGTGTGTGTGTGTGTGTGTGTGTGTGTGTGTGTGTGTGTGAGAGAGAGAGAGAGAGA